AAGTCTGCTAGTTCCGTTAAGTGAGGTACAAGCACGTACAAGGCTAAACCCCAAAAAACATGATAACATTAAACAAATACTACAACATCAATGATATGATAGCAATCAATCGATAAAAATATTTAGGAGGTAAGATATCAAGCATTATAAATCCAAACGTTTAAATTTTATAGCATGTAGACGTTAAACCGGTGGAAACAATATCATCTAAGGAGAATTATTAAAGTTAAGTATTAAAGTGCAGTTAAGTGTCTTCATCAGATATTATTATTTCAGACAGACTGTGTGTACATGAATGGATAATTGACTATATCAATACATTATGTAAGAAAATATAATAGCATTATTTAAAAAAGAAGAATTATGTTGTTACTTATATCAATATATCCTTATATTTGGAGGTGCGTCTTTAGTGAGGTATAGAAAGCAGCGAGAGTTGTCCTCTATATTGCGTTACATGGGATCATGTTCCAATCGTCGGCAGTCTTTACATGAAACGAGTCCTTGTAGTAATCGTTTTTTGCAGAAGGTACAAACATCTTCTTGTTGTTGTTATTTCTACTTGTTCTATTGCTGGTGTAATTCTTGGACTGATATTTACTAAATCTTTGATATTGTTATCATTATGTCGTTAAAATCCATATGACCGAGTGTTCTGGGGACATCAAAAATATCCATCTAGAAGCGACATTAATTATGTCAGATGTGCGCTTTAATATTCACTGAATTCATCATGTGTAGACGAAAATGATACACTTCAACACATGGCCCTTAGTTCATGAGCCGATCAGATGGCGGAAAAAGAAGTCCTGACCAGCTTTATGGGAACTTAACAGTCCGTCTGAGCCAACTAAATGAGCGATGTGTCCGTTGACAGAGTACTGGTTCTGGCTAGCATGGCTGGAGATTAACGGAATGTTCGAGAATGATGTCCTGATAGAGGGGAAGATTAATAGAAATTAAGACACTGACGGTGTAAAGAACTGTGAATAGTTGTGCAGTAGAGCTGCCTTCGTAGGAATTTCCAGAGATATTTTGAGCTAGGGTCACCAAACCCTAAAAGAACGTTGGATACAGCATATAAATTGTCAATTCAAGCTGACACTTTAACCTTGGGTGTCCATCCCGTTGGGTTTCTAATGAGGCAGGTTTCCAGACAGGTGCGTAGATTTTATCAAGCATTTTGTTACCAAGGATCATATCAGCTGCTCTCTCTGCTATCATCATGGTTGGAGCATTGGTGTTCCCGCTCATGAGGCTGGGCATAATGGATGCATCAACAACTCTGAGATTCTGAACACCAAAGACTCGGGTTTGGCTGTCACAAACGGCCATAGGGTCATCTTCGGAACCCATCTTGCAGGTAGAGACTGGGTGGTAGATAGTTTCTGCGTTGGCGCGGATAAAGGCATCGAGCTCAGCATCCGTCCGGACGGCGGGTCCTGGTGACACTTCCTCTCCACGGAACTCATCAAAGGCTTTCTGCGCAATGATCTCTCGGGTGAGCCTGATACTTTCTCGCATGTCCCAACGGTCCATCTCGGTGTCAAGGTAGTTGGGGTCAATGATAGGATGCTCTCTGGGATCACGAGACTTGAGCTTAATGGATCCTGAGCTGGTCTCCCTCAATGTGTTGACATGAACCTGGAACCCATGACTTTTTCCCGGTATTCGCCCGTGGTTTTTAACGATACATGGCACAAAGTGCATCTGGATATCAGGATGTTTTACCCCAGCACGACTCCTAATAAAAGCAGCTGCTTCGAAGTGAGACGAGCTTGCCCACCCTGTATGGAACATAAACCACTCAAGACCAATTGATATCATAGTGAGAGGGAATTTCCACTGGGCCTTGTATAGGGACACGGGCTTCGTACAGGTATATTGGCAGTAGGCCTGCAAGTGATCTTGGAGGTTCTGCCCTACACCGGGAAGATGTGCAACCACTGGGATGCCTAGCGCTTTCAAGTCATCTGCATTTCCCACACCAGACAACATTAGCAGCTGCGGCGAATTTATTGCTCCCCCAGACAGAATTACCTCTTGCGATGCTCTTGCAAACTTCTTTACTTTCTTACAGGTGAACTCAATTCCTGTCGCTTTTGTTCCTTCGAACAAAACTCTGTCACATAATGACTTTGAAAGGATCGTCAGATTCTTCCTTTTTCGGACATCACCCGATTTAAGATATGCATTCGAAGAGTTCCACCTGCGACCTTTGTGAATTGTTTGGTCCAGCCGCCCTACACCTTCCTGCTGGTATCCGTTCATATCATATGAGTGTGGATATCCAGCTTCCTTGCCCGCCTTGATGAATGCATCGAAGAGAGGATTTTTTTGTTTGCTGGCGGAGACAAGAAGAGGTCCGCTGCCGCCTCTGTACTCATTTCCACCCTGCTCGTGGCATTGAGAACGTTTGAAGTACGGCAGACAATCCGCGAAAGACCATCCCTCAGCGCCCTCTCGCTCCCACCTATCATAATCCTCAGGATGTCCTCTGATGTAGACCATTGCGTTGATGGAGGAAGAGCCACCTAGGACCTTGCCCCTCGGCCAGAACATTTCCCTGTTGTTCATGTGCCTTTGAGGAGCTGTGTGGTAATACCAGTTGTAGGTTGTGCCACCCATACAGATATATACAGCAGCGGGCATCTGAACCTTCCACGTGTTATCTTTCGGTCCAGCTTCCAGAAGTAGAACCTTGTTGTTAGGTTGGGCAGAGAGGCGGTTAGCAAGAACACATCCTGCAGACCCTGCTCCAACGATGATGTGCGTGTAATCATCCTTGGAATGAACGCTGAAGGATTTCGATTGCTGGAAACCAGCAGCAGCAGGAAGAAAAGAGAGTTGCCTCAAGTTGTTCAGGCCTGTAATTAAGAGGAAAAGGGAGAATAAGAAAGGAAGAAAAAGAGAGTTATCGAAATGTAACAAACGAACTCCAGAAATATACTACAGTTGGTTATTTGAGTTTGAAGGAACAATTTCTTTTGACAACACGTACAAAATTAAACAATGACTGTAATTTTAGGTAACTGTTTTTGAAATCATGTAATAGGTTATTACATGATCAAAAAAAAATAAATAAATAAATAAATAAAATAAGAAGTGAAAATGTATATTGATCAACATATTAGAAAAGTTAAAACAATTCGGTTATAAGCAGCTGTTCTTGTGTATAAATTATGCTATATTATTGTAAAGCGCTTTCATAGGGACTTCTGATAAATTAAGTGTAAGGCGCTATATAAGCAAATTTAATTATATATGTATAACAGGGTATTTGTTGGTGTGATATTATTCTCTTTGACTGAAAGTGTGCTCCATGACATTGAACAATTGTATTACATGACATGTGTACAATTCACCAAAGGGTCATCATATTTCCAGGTGCTAGGCAGTGAGACCACACGAAGGAAATTCTAAGAACTTTAACATTAAAATAAGGCATGTGCCCTAAAAGAAGATGTAATTTTATTTTCCAGTTTGATCAGGGGTGGTGGAGCGTCCTTCAAGTTATAGGACATTTGTCTCTACATTATAATTATTACACCAGGGCCTGTGATCGTCAACTTTTTCTCTTGACGTGGTACAAGATACTGCTTTAGTACCATGTATGTTTTGCTATCATGTACGGTTGCTTGAACATTCATTTGCGAGCAAGCGAGCAAAAAAATCCCGACCGATTTCGACCGATTCGATTTATTTAAATGAAAATGAAAATTAGTAGAAGGGCATTTCCATAACTTTGATGGTTTTCAATATATAATTTGTATATTCGCACACGATAAACATCAGAGAGCGAGAATTAAAAAAAAAATTAAGAAAAATTATATGATGATGAATTATCTATCCGTAAATTTCTGCTCTTAGGTAGAGCAGATTTTAGAAGAAAGACAGAAATGTAGATACAATACTCTGTCAGGTGAGTGCAGTGGCGGATCCAGGCCCCCCCCCCCCCCCTAAATGAGCGAATTATTAGCCGGCTATTTCGCCGCTAAATATATTTCTCACGAATTGGGCCCCCTTCCCTACCGCGGCTGGTTCCGCCCCTGGGTGAGTAAGTGTGTGTGTGTGTGTGTGGTTGGGTTATTGCAGAGGTGTATCAATCAGATATGATTATTTACGTCTTGGGGGACCGACCTTTCATGTCACCTTCCGAAAGACGTGACTCAGTTTCGAACCAGCCTCCTCGGCAGCTGGATCAGGCTTATTTCCATATATCTTTGTAAGTATTTGTTCTTTGAACTACAGTGGTACTAGATAAATGAGCTATAGACACAACAATCGTAGGCATATAGACACAAAGAATGTAGGCACTTAAACAAAATAACTTTCCCGGGGTAAAGTTGAGTGTCCCTGGTGGCCCCCGATACACCAACCTCACAGGGTAGTATACTGTAACGTATTGAAAGTGTCTTAGATCTTAGATTATAATCCCCAGGCCAGCCAAGGGATGTGACATGGTTTCACATGGCGTACGTGCTTTCCTGAGATGGTGTTATGGCGACTGAGAGGATGTAAAACATTCAAGACATTTGTTGTCAAATCTATGATCCGATGTCAAAGGCTGACATTATATTTTAAACATTTAGATATTTCACTCCCCCCCCCCCCCAAGAAATAGGCCTCTATTTGTTTTCTGCAATATTTTGTCATTTATTTCATTATATGGGACCATGGATATGCACACTTTCTGTTGAAAATATGTCTTATTTTAGGACCAAACAGAGCACTGTTTATCACTACCATTAACCCTTGTCACTGAGGAGATGTGACCACACATTTTCCACCATTTCCCTCCCCATTTGTTTCATTCTGATCGCTTGCATGTGGTCCTTATCTAAACCAATTTAGGACAATACTTTCTAAAAGTGTACCCAGAGAGTAACTCACTATGTATACCACGTAATTGCAGTTCTATATATATGTAATTACGAAATCAAGCGGATTGCTTCAACATTGATGAGATTGTGCTTTAAAAAAAAACATCAACTAAAGTTTGGTGCGATGCGATATCACAAATTTAAGAAAACTACTACAGATAAAGTAAAAGAAAACCGAGGGTTAAAGATAAGTTGAGTACTGGTCATGCGATTGCATTTTGAAAGAAAAGGTGTGGAATGGATCAGAAAAAGTTGAACATGCATCATGTAAGTATTGGTGTGTACTGCAAGGTTCTGGAGTCATCAAAATCATAATAAATTTGGCCCAGTCTTGGTAAAGGAACAAGCACTGAACACAGAAAGATGTATATGGGACTACGCAAATGGTGTCGGGGCTACTAACCTTGATTTCCTTATCTGTATATGCCATTACTCAGCAAATATATATTTTCTACCAAAATTGTTTGGCAAATGACATTTATTTGTAATCTTGAACATTCAGTGCAAGTTTCGTTTGATTCTGTGAGAATTCATTTTTTTTTTTTTTTTTTTTGCCAGAACTCAAGTTTATCTTTAATGCCTAGATTATAAGATAAAACCGTTACAGGGGATGTCCAAATTCATGTAAATAGAACAACATTATCGAGTATGATCCTTGATAACGTATCAACTAAAATGTTGGGGTTTCAATATCTCAAAACGATGTTTGTTTTCCTGCTTTATGCTCGCACGGCTTTGTCGGTTTTCCTGTTCTCGAAGGATGCATCCGTGTTTTAACTTTTCACATTTTATATTGTTTTCGCGTATTTTTGCTGAATTATGTTTGTTAAATCGCGCTTTTAGGTAAATGTGTTCTCACATTTAGCAAGAAAGGGAGTTGAGGTTTTTTTTTTGCCGGGGCCCCCTTGGTTGGGACTCTCAGTATATGCTTGGGGACCCCTGCTGTTTGTTTTTCTGCCAGCTTAGGATTCCATTGGGACCGCCGAGGTTATTGACTGAGCGCCCTATACCTGGGAAAGTTTAACACTATGATGGAAGATATGGCAAAATCTAACCTTCCGAAATTAAAAAAAAAGTCATTGAAAGTCAAAGATATAACGAAATTTTCGAAACCGATATTTAAGAACATACATCATGATAAAGATTAATGATACATTCAATCATACATTAACTTCCTACTGTACCGAGGAAAAACAGAGAAAACATACAAACATGCCAAAGGCATTCGTCTAACAAATTCAGAGGCAAATATCGTCACAATCATACTTAACATACACACATGAAACAGTATAAAAAGATATTTAAAACAGGTATATTTTTCAAAAATTGGGACGTTCAGCGGACCCTAACTACTACTACTACTATACTACTACAACTCCAGATAATAGTGCTACTGCTACTACTACCTCTACTACAACAACAACAGCAACTACTACTACAGCTACTACTATATTTTATACTACTACAACTACAATGAATAAAAATACTCCTATTACTACTACTCCTACTACTTCTACTACTCGTGTACCTACTTCTGCTACTATGTTATCATTCCGAGGCCATATGAAATCGATAGTAAATGTCAAACTTACCTGGCCTAAACATTGCCAATGATAGATACATGATTTCTTCTTGGTCAAAATTTTCACACCAAAGAGAACTAGATAACTAGGTGAAGGACCATGAGTCGAGTCCGCGAGCAAGAATAAAATGACATATACGATGGCTGACTGACTGAGCGTGAGTGTGTTCGCTTGTCACAATCTCCAAGTTTTATATATCATTCCCCATACATTAACAAGGGGGAGTCAGAGGCGGTTCCGGAATTTTCCAAAGGGGAGGGGGTAGGGGGGCATAAAATGTAAGAAATTACGAGCGCGAAGCATTTAAGGCGTGGGGTCCTTAAGGTTCTCTATAGAACATTCTAAATATTTATGTGAATATTTCACTTATTTTATTTTCCATGCATCTATTTTTTCCGAAACATCAATAAAAAATGGCAAGTTCAGTAATAGTGAAGCCTGAACATTTTTTTTTAAAGAGGGGCGTGAAAAAGACCAAGCAGTAAGCGTGCCTGATCGCCCTGCTATAGAGGGGTCTTGGATCATTTTTCTGTAATCTACAGGATATTATGTTACCCCAAAGGAGGACAGATACATAGTCATTTTCCAGAGTGTTTTTCTAGTCTGCTTAAGATATTCAAATCCTTTAAGTCATTTTTCATTCCCCTTTAAGTCCAGAGGGTGTGATTCGTAACAGCCACTACCGACCAATCAGAGACAAGAAACAAGACCCAGTGAAATCGCGTCGACAGAACGTGCAACTAATACTAGCAGGATTCGGTCCCACCATCAGTCTTGTCTCTCCCACTTATTTCTTGTCTTTTTGAGTCACTATCTCTATATTCTACTTTAAAAAAACGGAAGGAAAAAGGGGGTACACCCCCATACCCCCCCCCCCCTTCCGCCCCCTGGATCTGCCCCTGGGGTAGAAAAGTCATGAATGTTGACACTAGCAGGCTCCGGTCCCACTATCAGTCTTGTCTCTCCCACTTATTTCTCGTCTTTTTGAGTCTCTATCTCTGTATTCTACTTTAAAAAATCGGAAGAAAAAAAAAAAAGGGGGTACATCCCCATGCCCCCCCCCCTCCACCCCTGGATCTGCCCCTGGGGTAGAAAATTCATGAATGTTGACTACATTTTACTTGTGTTTGTTGGATATGTTTGCTCGTGTCGCGTTGGATTACATGAAAAAAGGTTAACGACTACCATATACCGTAGAGTTCAACAATATAACCCCAACCCTCGGAGACAGATCAAGTTTATAACACGGAAAAATTGGATCACGAATTCGGGCACAAACTCCTAAATAATGCTGACAAACATAAATAAAACCTTATCGATGATATATAATATACATATACACAAGTATATAATACTAAAGGCGTCATTAGAGGGACATTTGGAGTGAAAAATTGAGTCATTAAGTAGACATTGTCATTAGGAGGACAATATGTTTTTTTCTTAACGTTTTTTATGTTTTATTTCTCATAGAAGGCCCAATTTGTTTATATATATCTCTCTCTATATATGTAATTTCACTAAAGGCGTCATTGGAGGAAAATTTGGAGTGAAAAAATGAGTCATTAAGTAGACATTAGGGTTAAGATTAGTGTTAGGGTTAGGGTTAGGTTTAGGGTTAGGTTTTAGGGTTAGGGTTAAGATTAGGATTTTTATGATGTCAACGTAATGTACCATTTAGGGTTATATATACATATATACATATATATATATATAATATTGCAAACAATCTTGTTGTCGCCTAGTTTCTTCATAATTTAAATTAGTTCCTCCTTCCTTTTGTCTCGCTGTCTCCTCCCCAACCCACCTCTCTCCCCCTTTCTCACTCACTCTCTCTCTCTCTCTCTCTCTCTCTCTTTCTCTCTTTCTCTTCCCACTCCCTCCCCCGCTCTCTTTCTCTCTCTTTCTCTCTTGGCTCGTGGAATTCGGTCTTCTTCTGCCTCGAGAAAAGAAAAAAGGAAATTCAAATCATTTCCTCATACTGCAAATATCAATAAGAATATATCGTTTTAATTGTACTACGTGGTTCTTTAAAATACTGAACCTGGCAGCCCGCAGGATAAATGACAATCGGTTTACATGAGAAAATCAATTTCACTTGCAAATCGTTATTCCAACAATTTTCACACAAGGTGCAAAAATTAAAAAGAACATATAGCAATAAAAGTAACCAAATATTTATAAAAAAAAGGTTCAAATTATATTAATAATAATACGAAAAATATTTTTTTCTTTTTAAGCACTTTTACAGAATATTGATCAGAGCGCTGATACAACAAAACAAACCAAAAAATGAAACAATAACGTATACAAATATATCACTCAAGAGTAAACGTAGTAATAATTGACAGTGTCTAAGCAAAATAAACAAATACTTTTCTGTTAAAGTAGTAGATACAGCAACAGTGGTGTTTCCAATCTGGAGGCACGGATCTTATACCAGATGACAAGAGGAGGACCTCGGTTTTGTCCTCTATAACCTGCAGGATATTGCTCGTCATCCATTGGTTCAGTTCACAGACACGTTTCTCTAGTTTATTGCGGGCTTCATTCAAACTAGCAGGATTACGTGGACAACTACAGTAAATCTGTATATCGTCTGCGTACAGATGACACAAAAGACCATGGCGTTTGATATTGTATCTCCAACAGGTCTGATGTAAATTGTGAAGAGTTGAGGCCCGATTACCGAACCTTCAGGAACACCATATCTCCGAAGATGAGAATCAAAGTTTTTTGCAGGCTTCATTCAGACTAGCAGGATTCCATGGATCAAAACTACAGTAAATTTCTGTATCGTCTGCATACAGATGACAACAAAGACCATGGCGTTTGATATTGTATCTCCAACAGGTCTGATGTAAATTGTGAAGAGTTGAGGCCCGATTATCGAGCCTTCGGGAACACCATATCTCCGAAGATGAGAATCAAAGTTTTTTGCAGGCTTCATTCAGACTAGCAGGATTCCGTGGATCAAAACTACAGTAAATCTCTGTATCGTCTGCGTGCAGATGATAACAAAGACCATGGCGTTTGATGATATCTCCGCCAGGTCTGATTTAAATTGTGAAGAGTTGAGGCCCGTGTACAGAACCTTCAGGAACACCATATATCCAAAGATGGGAATGAAAGCACTTCCCTTTCATAGATACACGTGCCGACCGTCCTATCGGGTATGGGTACGTTTATGCTCAACTTTTTCTGGCCAGAATGAGGAATTTGTTACGCGTTTAGTTCAAAACACGGTTGCGTCCTTTCTCATTTTGTAGAATCACCGAAAAACGGCGATCGTAGTCGCTGATCGTAAACTCACAAAAAGGTGCGTTTTGGATCGGCGATCCTGGGGAAGCAGAAACGCACAATCATTTGTAAACGCGTTTAAATGGGGTCAACGTAGCATGCGCTGTGCAGGGTTGCAAATCCAGCTGCAGAGCCAGAATCATGCCTGGAGGAGCCAGAGATGTGAGCATCAACAGTACATCATTGAACTGTGATTACGATGAGCGTTTCAAATCGCTCATTCTGCCTTCAAAATTGAGCATAAACGTACCCTAAAACCACTGTAGTGCTGAACCTTTGACACCATATTCTGTTCGTAGTCTTGCCAACAGTGTAAAATGATCTAGGGTGTCGAAAGCAGCACTCAGATCTAATAACACAAGACGTACTGCTTTCTCCTGATCATTGTCTTACAGAATGTCTTGCTTTACACGTTGCACTGAGAGATGGGGCTAAGAAAAGAGAGAGTAGAAGGAAGAGGTGCGGATGATGGGATGTAAGATAAGGAGAGTAAGAGAAGAGAGCACCAAGAGGAGGGAAGTGGAAAGAACGGATTAGACATGGAGAAGAGGTAAAGGAAAGAAATGAAGGGAAGGGTAGAAAGAGAGGGAGAGAGACAGAGAGACAGAGAGAGAGATACAGACAGAGAGGAAGATAATGCGACAATAGGAGGAAGCAAAATACTATGTATACAAAATTACAGTTCATATATGGTGCCATGTTATACGTTTTTTATACAAAGTATGAAGCTGAAAAAACAATCAATACAATTTTGATTGTTTAGGTATGAGAATTTGCATAGAGATATAAAACTTATAAGTAACGAATAAACAATCCAAATATATCAATATTGATGTACACATGTTGAACGTGTATTATATACATGTAAATTGCAATAATGTAATATTACTGAATGTGAAAACAAAAATTATAGGGGGAGGGGGAGAGGATATAATCGAAAGCAGGTGAGGGAAGAGGCAATAGAGCGAGAAAAAGAGAGGGAAGAGAGATGAATGAGAGAGAGAGAGAGAGAGAGAGAGCGGAAGAGAGAGAGAGAGGGGGGGGGGGGGGAGAAGGAGAGGAAAATCCTATAGAAAGAGCGGGGTTGAACCTAGTTATTCACAATACCACTACAACAGTTGTTGGGTCGGAAAGACCATACAATTACACAATGTATATGATATTTCAGTTATGTGAAACAATATTATACACACGTTTCATTATTGAATCAAGCGACATGTACATTCATTTAGGCCCGGAAGTTTGCATTTACCTGGAAAAACCCAATCACAATCAACTGCACTTATTCCAAACCAGGAGTCACATACATAAATGTTTCAGTAAATGTGAGATGTACATACTTTATACTTGTCTATCATCCTAAAGTAAAAAGTTGGTAGGAATGCGTAAAGTGATGAAGTATATTCCTTATTAAAATAGTGGTATGTACTATTCGATAATATTAGGAGATATGGTACTGAACTTTTAGGCTGTCAGCTTAACTTTGGGTTCCCCATCCCTTTGGGTTTCTAATGACGCAGGTCTCCAGACAGGTGCGTTGATTTTCTCAAGTTGTTTGTTACCAAGGATCATATCAGCTGCTCTCTCGGCTATCATAATGGTTGGAGCATTCGTGTTTCCACTGGTGATGCTTGGCATAATGGACGCATCAACAACTCTGAGATTCTGCAGGCCAATTTCCCGGGTGCTGCTGTCAACAACGGCCATAGGATCCTCTTCAGAACCCATCTTGCAAGTGCTGGTTGGGTGGTACATAGATTCCCCTTTCGCACGGATAACGGCATCGAGCTCAGAATCAGTCTGGGCAGATGACCCTGGGGTCACTTCCTCTCCTCGGAACTCATCAAAGGCTTTCTGAGCAATGATCTCTCGAGT